CGTCATAACCGGTAAATGACTTGACCCTAACGGCATAGCCATTTGCAACCTGTCTCAGCTCGTCACTTATAGGCGCATCAGTTTGGGCTTTCTGTTTGAACCAACAAATGAAATTGGGGCTCTCTAGTCCCGCACCCTATGAAAGAAGGGTATCATTTTCTTGCGGGGTAGGTTGCCTTGATCCATGCCAGGATTGACGAAGAAATTCCCTGTACCAACGAGAAACAAGGGGGTTGGACGAAGAAACAAGGACATACGGCGAAATGAAACAAGTTCGTTCAGAACTTACCCAATGAACGGCTGCACCTCGACAAGGTTGGTCAACACATATAGCATGATACTGCGCCACCCTTCATTTTTCAATTGCTTAGTGGTCGATGCACTTGCGCTTCTGAGTTGCCCTTGGAAAAGGCTGAGGTTCGATTCATTTTCGCCAGCATTGTAACGAGGGGGTGGATTATAAACGCTAGGAAGGTTCTCAGTGTAGTATTTCTCTGTGAAGTTCGACACCTCCTCTAGAATGTATGCCTCTGCAATGGAAGACTCAATTTTGGCTTTATTTCTACATTTTTTGCGAAGAGTCTTCAGACATCTCTCGATTGGATAGCACCAACGGTCTTGCATGGGCCCCCCCATCCGTGCCTCAAACGGGAGGTGCACAATCAAATGTTGCATGAGCAAGAAGTAGCCGGGTGGAAAGATCTTCTTCAACTTATAGAGCAACATGGGTGCCACTTTTTCCAAGTCATCAATGACGGTCTGAGAGAGCTCCTTGGCACAAAGCTGGCGGAATAAGTAGCTCAACTCTACCAGCACTTGCCAGACATGCTCCGAGACATAGCCTCGAACCATCACCAAAAGAAGCCGCTCAATCCATATGTGGTAGTCATGACTCTTCATCCCGTTGACTCATAGAGTGCCTAAGTTCACTCCCCTCTTTAGATTCGCTGCATACCCATCAGGGAACATTAGCGTCTGGATCCATTCAAGTACTTCCCTCCTTTGGCCCTTTTTCAAGATGAAATCGGTCTTGGGCCTTCTCCAGGTCTTGCCACGACTAGGAGGCTGCATCTCTTGATTTGGTCTATCGCACAACGTTGTCAGGTCCACTCTAGCCTTAGGGTTGTCCTTAGACTTTTCAGTGTCCATGAGTGTTGCCCAAAGTGCCTCGGCGACATTCTTTTCAGTGTGCATTACATCAATGTTATGTGGCAGAAGAAGGTCATCGAAATAGGGGAGCCTCGTCATGCCCGAGATATGAGTCCACATATGTTGCTCACCATATCCCACAAAACCACCTTCTTCATTGGGCACGAGAGCATCTATCTGAGCATGAACCTCGGCACCAGTCATCATCCACGGTGCAGGGTTTGTCACTTTGATACCTTTCGTAAAGTTCTTGATGTCTTGTCTGAATGGATGGTCAAGAGGTAGGAATTGACGATGTCTGTCGAACGATGAATACTTGCCACGCCCTTCTGCAACCAAATGAACCTCACACCTTCCTTGCATATTGGGCATGGGAACTTCCCGTGAACACACCTGGCGCAGAATATCCCATACGCCAGGAAGTCATGCAGGGAGTAGTGGTACCAAATGTGCATTTTGAAGGTTGTCTTTGTAGCTCGATCGTATGTCCATACCCCTTCGTCCCAAGCATGGATCAATTCATCAAACATGGGCTCCATGAACACACCCATATTACTCCCTGGGTGTCCAGCAATTATCAAGGACAAGAATACATTATGTCATTGAAAGGAGACACCGAGGGGGAGATTAAGGGGGATAATGAAGATGGGCCAACATGTGTATGGGGCAACCATCATTCCATAAGGATTGAACCCATTTGTTGCCAGCACGACACGTACATTACGAGCCTCATCTGCTTTGTCATGATGTTTGTCATTAAAGCGGATCCAAGCTTCACCATCTTGTCAGGATTGTACCATTTGCCATTTTTGTGCCATATCATCTGTTTCGTGGATTCCTCGGTCATGTATAGCCGTTGGATCCTCGGTAGGAACGGAAGGTACCGTAGGATTTTCACGGGGATCGTAAGTTGCCTCTTCTGGCCATCATCAGAGTCTACCTCTAGGTACCTGGAGGATTTACACTTTGGACAGAACTTTGCATGCTCGTGTTCTTTCCTAAGTAGGACGCACCCCTTCGGACAAGCATGTATCTGCTCATATGGCATCTTAAGTGCACGAAGGAGTTTCTGTGACTCGTACATGCTCTTTGGTAGAATGTGGCCCTCCGGAAGCAGGGTGCCAATCACGGCCAACATCTTATCGAAGCCTTCTCGACTCAAGTTTAACTCAGACTTCAACCCCATTAAGCGTCCAATGGCATCCAGTTGAGACACCGTTGACCGATCGTGAAGGGGTTTCTGTGCCGAGTCCATCATGTCGTAGAACGCCTGTGCGGCTGCCTCCATCTCCTCCTTCTCACGTCCCTCATCGAATTGTCCTTGGTGAAAGTCATCTAACATGTCTGCTACCCCAGCATCAGCATCAAAAGCCTCCACCTGTGGTCTCACCACCTCCTCTCTCATACGATGGGCTTCACCATGGTGGACCCACCGGGTGTAGTCCAGAGAAAAATCCATTCTTTACAAGATGTTTACCCATTTCCACCTTGTTTACCCTTCTCATGTTTCCACATTTGCTACAGGGACACAAAACTAGGCAATGTCCTTTAGCAGCCTTGCCAAATGCACTGTTCAAGTGGAAAGCATCGGTCTTGTTCATCCATTCTATGGTGTAATCACTCTGACTTCTCTAGCCTGTGTACATCCACTGACGGTCATCCATCCTCTAACATATGTATCAGCGAGTAATGTAACCATCAATTGCATCTACATGGTGTTCCTACTGTCTAATAGGTGAGGATAGGTCCTAATCCCACCCGCGGATGCGTAGATGAGGTTAGTTTCCATGCTCTACTCCTATCCGAGACAGAATTTCGGCAGCACCTCCCTGCTGTTCTCCAGATACACGTCCTGCCAAAGAAGAGTGCGTATCCAGAGAACAATAGGGAGGTGATGCCGAAACTCTGTCTCGGACCGGAGCAGACCTTGAAAACTAACCCATCTACGCATCCACGGGCTGTCCAAAAAACGTGGACAATCCGAAATAGATACGGTCATAGATATGCAAACATCTGCATACCTCCAACCGTATCTCTTTCGAACAGGAGACACCTAACTGGGTTACGCGATCTACGACCATGATACAGAAAGAGGGGTTATACCTAGGGTGGCGGCGGAGTCAGGCTAGCGGGGCCGTGGCAAGTCGGTGTAGTGGCGAGGCGACGCAGTGCAGGCAGACCGACACGGCGACGGGAACTCCGACACGGCTCCGACGGGCTCTTCTCTACAAAAATGGAACAAAATACTGTCAATTAAAAAAAATCGGCAGAACCTCCCCTGCACGGTGAGGTTTCCAAAACCTGCAAAAACAACGGCACGATGGCCGACAAGCACATGTCTCAAGAGAAGCCATATAGTTTGGATATCAATCCATGCAGAAGAATATATCCAAGTAGTACCACTACTTCTACTACTACTTCCACTATTGCAACTACTACTACCACTAGTTCTACTACTACTACCACTACTTCTAATACTACTACTACCACTAGCACTACTACTACAACTAATACTACTACAACTATCACTACCATGACAACAATAAGAGAGAAGGCATACCTGACGGGCGCCGGGGGTAGGGGCGGGCGGCGTTGGGGTCGGGGTCAGGGTCGCCGGAGTCGGGAACGGGGTCGGGCACGGGCGGCGTTGGGGCGGGCGGTCCAAGGGGCGCGACCGGGGGCAGGGCCAGCTCCTACTCCTCCTCCTTCTTCTCCTCCTCCTCCTCCTCCCTCCTCCTCCTCCTCCTCCTCCTCCTCGCCTCCTCCCCCTCCTCCTCCCCTCCTCCACCCGTTGGCGTTGGTGGGCGGGCGTAAAGAAGCTTTGTGCCGCCGCCACACGCTGGGCCTGGGCACGGCTGGCGAGGGAGTAATTGGCGCTACGCTGCGTGGATAGGGAGATAGGCGGCGGGTGGTGTAAGGCGGCATCGGGCGGCATGGCCGGTGGCCGGTGGCGTCGGCGCGACCTCAAGCGTCAATGGCTGGCGCACGCTGGGCTGGCACGCTGGGCACACGGCATGTGGCCAGCGGCGGCGTGCGCCGGGCGGGCGGCGCGGGAGGTGGCCGCGCCCGCATGTCAAAGAGGTTTTTTGAATTTTTTTTAGAAATTTCCTCTTTGCCGAGTGCCGTGTCAGGGGCACTCGGCAAAGTATTTTCCTAAAAAAAATACTTTGCCGAGTGCCTAACAGCAGGCACTCGGCAAAGAAGGACGTGGCCGAACACCGTTACGTGGGGCAGCCTATGCCGAGTGCCGCGTTTTTGCCGAGAGCCTGGCACTCGGCAAAGAAGTCCTTTGCCGAGTGCCCGGCACTCGACAAAGAACTCTTTGCCGAGTGCAATTCTTTGCCGAGTGCGGCACTCGGCAAAGAAGGTCTTTGCCGAGTGCCTAATTTTTGACACTCGGCAAGGCAGTTTGCACTCGGCAAAGACCCTGTTTCCAGTAGTGAATATTGCCACGGAGATCAAAGGGCTGGGCAGCAAGAAGCAACACATAGAAACAAAGTTGTAGTAGCTACTAGAGAGTGTGACCGCTTTTCTCTTTTCTTCTTTTCTTTTTTACTTTTGTTTTTTGACAAAGCGTGTGATACTAATAATAGAAATAAAGTAGAGATATTTAAATGTTTGTTCCACTGTTTAATGGAAGGCACACATTATTGCATTGTAAGGCAACACCCAACACGCATGCATTATAAACACTAGTGATCGGTATAGGTGTATGTAACATCAGGGGCAGTGATACACAAACACCAAAAAAGAAAAGACAGACTTGAGTGGTGGTAGTGACACTCTCAAAACTAGACATAGACACATCAAGAGCTAACAATTAAGCTGCTACTTGGGTAGATCCGAGAAACATGATTGACATCTTGAGAGCTGTGCAATGGTGGGACGAGTGGCAGCTGCGCATCCTCGTCCTCGGCAGCCTGGGTCTCCAGTGGTTCCTGCTGCTGGCAGCCCCCATGCGCAACTACACAATCCCTCGCTTGTTCAGATTCTCCATCTGGGCGGCGTACGTGAGCGCCGATGCTCTGGCGATCTACGCGCTCGCCACCCTCTTTAATCGCCATTCCATGGCGAGCAGCATCAGCAGCAGCTGCAGCTGCTGTGACTACGGGAAGAAAGGAAGCTCCCTGGAGGTCCTGTGGGCGCCTCTCATCCTCGTCTACCTAGGTGGACGGGAGGAGATCACCGCCTACACCATCGAAGACAACGAGCTGTGGACGCGGCATACCGTGACCATGGTGTCCCAGGTCACGGTCGCCGTGTACTCCTTCTACAAGTCGTGGCCCGGTTCGAGCGACCGGAAGCTGCTGCTGTCGGCAATCCTGCTGTTCGTCATCGGCATCATCAGCTTCATCGAGAAGCCGTGGGCTCTGCGGAGGGCCAGCATCAAGCGGCTGGTGGCCATGTGGTCCGTGATGAAAGGGAAGAGGGAGAGCCCCGGCGGGTGGGACTGGTGCTTTACCGAGCTCGGCGACAGGTACAAGTGCTGGACAAAGCTGCCGGAAGACGATGTGCCGATCCTGTCGCAGGGCGACCAGGTCCAGATGATCCTCTCGGACCTGTCGCTGTTCGCTGCCGAGGTCACCCTGCAGGCTCGGAGCAAGGGTGAGGGTGGTGGTGGTGGTAATCACGAGAGGAAGATCCTGGAGCCTCTCAAGTTAGAGAAAGATGAGACGCTCAAGCCCATGCTTCGTCAGGCGTTCGGGCTCATCTACACCAGAGCGAACGTCATCTTCACACCGGCCTACCTGGTCTGCCACGTGATGCTGGTCCCGTCGCTGTACATCGCCGCCATCACGCTCTTCGCGGCGAGCCGCAAGCATGGGTACGGCGCCACTGACATGAAGACGACGTACATCCTCCTGTGCTTCACCGCGGTGCTGGATGTCTTTGGGCTGCTCATCAGTGAGCTCATGTACAAGCTCATGTCCAGAACAAAACTAGCAGCATTGTGCGAGAACCTTCCGGGGCATAACCTCATCGACTCGGTTCTCCGGACGGCGAGACGTCCAGTCACCGGGTCGCTCCTCAACTATGCCTGGCGGTTTGGTTACAGGCCGGAGGAAGCTAGCGATCGTAGTAGCCTGTACCGCACGGTCTCGGATGCTATCACCTATCAATTGGTGAAGGTTTTCAAAAAAGCTGGTAAAAACGCTGACCTCTCCAGTTACAGAAGCTTCACCAAGACGGACTACTACTGGACTACAGACCAAACGAAGAGGCTGCTCAACACGGACTATTACTCCGAGTTGGATGATCATAAGCCAAAGAAGAAGATGGACAGCTCCGCCGCCGTTTCGAGTGATGATCAAGATCAGCAACGCCTGAAGATGGACAAGACCGCCGCCGTTTCGACTGATGATCAAGATCAGCAACGCCTGGAGATGGACAACACCTCCTCATGTTTAGACCCGACATGCTGATGACCGGCAGCAGGCGGGATCTGTTCACTGAAGCCACCAAGCAGATGGATCGCATCATCACCCAGGCCAGCAAAGACATGACAGAAAAGGAGAAGAAGCAAAAGCAACCACTCTCCGATGAAATCCTCCTAGACAAGATCAAGGAAAAAGCAGCCAGCCTCAAATTAAAAGAGGCATATAGCGTCATCGACGACGCTTGCAACCTCGCAAAGGAGCTGCTCGACATCAAGGACGAAAATGACCGTTGGCATTTGATGCACCTAGTGTGGGTGGGCATGCTGTGCTACTCCGCCAGCATGTGCAGGGGCTACCTGCACGCCAAGAGCTTGGGAGAAGGCGGGGAGTTCCTCTCCTACGTCTGGCTCCTCATCTCGCTCCAGGGGGCCAAGACCTTGGCAGACAAGCTTCAGATGCCAGACAAAGAACAAGGGGACGACGATCTGGACGACCAAAAGCGGTAACAAGAATACCAGGGCAAGAAAGGTACGATGCCTGGGTGGGATCCGGAAGCCAGAATGTTTCACCGTCAGCCATATTGATTTATTTGTTGTTTATTTCCATATCCATTGCTATGTTGCTCTGGTCTAGCTAGTGTGCATGCTGCTTGCTTCTATTGCAGTCGGTCGTGTGTGTTCATTCGTAGTCTAATAATAATACCAATAATGATAGTCTGTTGAGCCTGTACCTCTAGTTTAGCAGTGACATTATATACACAACAATATTGTTTTTTATATCATCACTACGTCCGTAGGAAGTGTTTCTCTGCGAATGCTAAATGCTAAATGATTGGTTCACTGCTACAGAACAGGCAATCCCGGCCTAACGGCACATGACTGTTGGGTATGTTGGAGCCGACAGTGATTCATCTTCACTAATGGCTCGTTAGGCTAGGATCCGATTAATGATTGTGGATTCGACAGACCCAACACTCAAGACACCTATCACTGTTACGAGTGGAGGCATAACCCGACAATGTCCCGGTTAATTACATCCACCAACCGACAGTGTTCTAGTTGGGATATTACTTCCAGTTTAGGCCCCCAACCTACAGTTCTAGTTGGGATATTGCTACCGGTTTAGGCCACTAGCTGGCATTGACATGCTAATACCATGTTGTGGCTTGATTCAGCAGCGTCATAATGGTATCATTGTAGGGTTTTGGGTTGACTCGACAATGTTAAGAACCGTTGGATCCATCTCTTACCACCCACTAGTGCAGGACTGAGCATCAGTCCCGGTTGGAAAACCCCCTTTAGTCCTGGTTTTCCAACCGGGATTGGAAAACCCCCTTTAGTCCCGTTCTGGGAACCAGGACAGAAAGTGGACCTTTAACCCTAGTTGCTATTACCAACCGGGACTAAATGGTCTCCCAGACCTTGCCCCGGGGCCGGCACGTTTAGTCCCGGTTGGTGTTTTCAACCGGGACTAAAGGTTCCTTTTTTCCATTTCTTTCCTTTTTATTTTATGGTTTCATTTTAATTCAATTCATTTTTGTTTCGATTAGCTTTTCGTATACGAATTCTACGCTGCTAATATACGTCCATAAATATGTACGTGTAAGGTTCCGTTCGAGCAGTATACATAAATAACACACTAAAATGTATGAAACTATATATACAAATATTTCAAGAGGTTGTACGTGCATGGAATATGTACATAATAAAGTCACAAAAACCTTGTACTCATGTCCTTGGGATGTCATTCAACCCAAATCTTCAGTCGTATGGCTACTAGGTAATAATTCTTTAGGGTCATAGTAGTACGCGCCTTTGGAATCTATGACCCAATACATAAGAAATCCTAACAATGCCTCTTGAATTGTTTTGATCTGGTCACATCGCTGAACCTTTTGCTTCCTCTATTCAACCTTCAATTCGAATGAAAGGAAAAGTATGAATATATATATGATTATATATATCAACACAATGGTAATAAATTGTGTATATACTTCGAGGATCTCTTCTGGAGTTCTCCTTGAGTATTCCATGAGGAACTCACAGACGTAATATCCACATAAGTTGTTTCCCGAACCCTACTACAGACACCACTTTACGAGAAAAAGATTCATCATCAACCAATGAAGCATGGTAATAATGAACTAAACTAAATAAAGATGCGGTGACCTAGCTAGTACTTACTGGGTATTGGACTATATCCAGATGCACTTTCCAATGACCATAATGGTGTTTCTGGGCGAACTTTTTTCAAGCACTGCCCAACAAAATAAATAAATGGAGGTATATCAATAAAATGGAATAAGAGAGTATACAGTGTGCGATACCGAAATTACCACTAGAGAATATCTATCATTTTTAGTAATCTTCTTGGGGTTTTGTCGCTGAGTCAAAGATCTTTACAAGACTCCTGGGCATATCGATGATCAGCAGTATCGAGTGAAATTTACATATTTATACACATGCATAACTCATTAACTAAAGTCAACATGGAGTAAGCAAAATAAAATGAGACATTAACACTCACTTGAAGTTGTAAGGAAAGAGTATCAGTGTCTTGTCATGTTGCTTATCTAAGAACCTAAACAGATTCTTCTCCACTTGAGTTCGCCATCTATCATATGGAGTAACCGTGTCTCTGAATGTGCGATTCGGATCCATAAAACCAACATCCATTAGCTTTTTTTCTTTAGTTTCAGCATCTCATGTCTGCATTTATATAGTACAAAATAATATATATAGTGTGAGGATAACTATATATAGACAATGAACTAACATGCAAGTTACTTTCAATTGTAGAAAGAATCACTTACAAACACCAGCAGCTGAGGAGAGATTTGTCGAGAGCGTCCCGGTTTAATAGTTGATGTAATTCATTGAACTCAATATGTACAATGTCATAGCCATTGAAGTAATGCTCTGGTCTAACTCTGGCAAGAAGACATGCCCCTTCCTTCGCACACGCATTTAAGTACCACTTGTTTAACAAGAACATTTGCGTACCCAGTGATGAATAGGACTTAGGGTTGACAAGACTCCTGCCATACACATAGGTCCGGTAAATATCAAATTTGGCTGTTGGTATCGATTCTCCCCCAATGAGTTGTTGAGGTGCGATAGCCATGCAAATTCACTGCAGTAGCTATACAACAATCAACATGAGGCCACTTCCTCACTGCTGCACTGTGTGTTGACATTCTAAATAGTACCTCACAAAATACTAATCAGTTTCTACTTCCTTTCCATATTAAAATCTCTAAGTGATGAATATGACAGCTACAAAACATGTTCATGGTGGAATGAAGATATACTCACAATTGCTTGCGTAGCGGACAAGTGTCGTAACGCTTCTTCTGGTACAACCCTTCCTGTCTCCTGGTAAAGGTTCTACAAGTGTATTGCAAGCACAGATATTTCAAATTTAAATCATTAGATAATTCACATATAATATTGGTGAATTATTTACAAGAGCATTGCACATACCAGTACCAAGCCTACAAGAACTTTGTTTTGCTGCAGTGCGTTGTCCTTTTCACGATTCTCTCGTTGCAGCCTTCCATTTGCACGACGTAGCTCTTCCATTTCTCGAGACATGTTTTGCATAGTCACTGAATTTGATGGACGCACACTTATTTCCCTTTCGGCTGCCCTGACATCTGAAGACTCAACCGCACCATTTGCTATGGCAAGACGCCCATGCTTTCTCGGGGCACCACTAGACACATCATATAGCACCTTTCCATTCAAATATTGTTGTTGCTCAACCTCATGCCCATCCACTTCCATGTCTGCACCGTCTCCATCCTATTCGTTTGCACATTCTATCCTCTTAAGAGCAGCAAGGTAGTCATCCTACAAAGACCCAGTTCCAGCACTAGTTAGAAACCCAGTTCCTGAAAATTGAAGATAGCTACTGTCTGTATCTATTTGCTTGCAGGTAGCTAGCAGCATGGCAGCAGGTCCAGCACTAGTTGCAACAGGTTCCAACCAGATCTTGAACCAGTTAGAACTCAATTTGCACTAGTTAGAAACCCATTTTGACCAGACCCAGCAGCAACAAGTTTCAATCAGACCCAGTTTGAACTGGTCAGATCTAGTTCTAACTAGACCCAACAACAAGATACGATACTGTACATTAACCCGCCCTTCAGACATATCAGTTTAGCAAAAGAAAATATACATCTTGAAAGCTGTACAGCACAAACCAGGTTCAGGACAGGACAAGCCCAAGAGCAAAAAGAAACCCCAAAAGAACAGAATAGGCTCATTGAGCGCTGCCTTATCACCCACCTCGCTTTGCTTAGCAGCATCACTTGGTACTTTGGCAACAGCTTAATTCAGCACAGCATATATACAGTTCCTATTCCATGCTTAAAATCCACACACCAAAGGAGCAAGCAGCAAGAAGAACTCAAAGAAGAAAGTGCCATAGCAGACCATTTGTGCAGCTAATAAATCTTATCAAATCAAAGACGCCTGCCGGAGCCCAAATCTGATGGTAGAAATTGTCGTAGATTGCACTGATCTGCAAAAGCTAGAAGAAAAGACGATGCTTTGGTGGGATCAAGATTCAAGAGGTAAGCCAGAAAGCCACCAGCAACCTTTCAAACAGCAATTCACCAAGAGGAAAGGCACATCACCAGCAAGGCAGTTTAGTTAGCTTCTTCCAAACGTCATATATTAAAAAAACGGAGGAAGTACAAAGATTAACTAGGACCACATATAGTTAGTCACATGTCAGCTTAGCAAGGAAATGTACATCTTGAAAGCTGTACAGCACAAACCAGGTTCAGGACAGGACAAGCCCAAGAGCAAAAAGAAACCCCAAAAGAACAGAATAGGCTCATTGAGCGCTGCCTTATCACCCACCTCGCTTTGCTTAGCAGCATCACTTGGTACTTTGGCAACAGCTTAATTCAGCACAGCATATATACAGTTCCTATTCCATGCTTAAAATCCACACACCAAAGGAGCAAGGAGCAAGAAGAACTCAAAGAAGAAAGTGCCATAGCAGACCATTTGAACAGCTAATAAATCTTATCAAATCAAAGACGCCTGCCGGAGCCCAAATCTGATGGTAGAAATTGTCGTAGATTGCACTGATCTGCAAAAGCTGGAAGAAAAGACGATGCTTTGGTGGGATCAAGATTCAAGAGGTAAGCCAGAAAGCCACCAGCAACCTTTCAAACAACAATTCACCAAGAGGAAAGGCACATCACCAGCAAGGCAGTTTAGTTAGCTTCTTCCAAACGTCATATATTAAAAAACAAAGGAAGTACAAAGATTAACTAGGACCACATATAGTTAGACACATGTCAGCTTAGCAAGGAAATGTACATCTTGAAAGCTGTACAGCACAAACCGGGTTCAGGACAGGACAAGCCCAAGAGCTAAAAGAAAACCCCTACGGAACAAAATAGGCTCATTGAGAACCCGGAGGCATATAGTTGCTATGGAATCTGCCAAAATTTCCTGGGTACATTTCAGTGCCAATGTCGTAATGGAAC